GGAGAAGTTGTAGTGAAGGGAGAAGAATGAGAGGTAGAGAGAGTGTGGTAGTGGGGTACATACCTGTGTGTATGCGCACGTGCTGTTGTAGGTGCGAGAGCTGCTTGAAGGCGCGGTCACAGTAGGAACAGATGTGTTTGCGGATGCCCGTGTGGACCAGGCTGTGCTGGGCCAGCTGCTGCTTGCTGCGGAACATCTTGAGGCAGGTGAGGCACGGGTGTGTCTTCTCTAGCTGGGAGCCCGGGCCCCCACCCCCCGAGGAGGAGCCGGACACAGAGGACGGGGGCGCGTGCAGGGCGCCGTGCTCATCCATCAGGCCCGACAGCGACTGGGAGGCTCGCTCCGACAACATGGGGATGGTGTGACTCTGATGGCGTCCTACAAGGTCCACCAGGCTCTCGTCGCCTGGAGCCCCACCGCCCCCTCCGCTGCCCCCTCCGCTGCCCCCCATATGGTGACCCCCTCCCCCAGCTCCGGCGAGAGAGGAGCGGGCGAGTCCCAGAGCCCCTAGATGACTCATCATGGAGTGCGGCGTGTGGCTCAGGCCAGCGGGGATAGGACCGCCGATAGACGGAGACTTGCCGAAATTGGAGGCCACGGCAGCGATAGTCTCCTCGATCAGGGAGGTGGTGGTGGAGGCAGAGGTCACGAGGTGGTGGTGGTGGTGTTGTTGTTGTTGTTGTTGTCCAGAGCCAGGTCTGTCTGCGGAGGAGGGGAGGGAGGAGGAGGAGTAGACAGAGCGGGACAGAGGGTGGGAGTCGGGGCGGGAGGAGTGAGCGGCAGCCTCTGGAGACAGAAGAGAGCTGGGCCGGGAGCCCACCAGGGGGCCGTTGTTGTCCAAGCCGTAGGCCGACAGTCCTCCCCGCCCGTTGTGGCTGCCCCCGCCGCCCCCGTCCATCCCGCCCGGGGTGTGGTGCTCCACCAGGGCGTTGTGCGGGTGTGCCGGGTGTTCGGAGAGAGCACGGAGGTGAGGGGGCAGCGACTGTTGCTCCAGGCTGTGTTGCTGGGCCGCACTGCCCATAGACGGGGGTCGGCCCCGACCAGAAGACATGGAGTCCAGCAGGCTATGGGAGGACACCTCGGGGGTGAAGCCCAGCGACTGGGGCGT